CAAAATGTGGCAAAAAGTCACAGATCTTGAGACTGCTACAATGGTATACAAAAAGGCAAAACTTTACCAATTTAAATGAAGATCAGATATCAAATGGCGCGTAACATGGCCCTTGTTGAAGATAAAATGCCTCAAACCTCGCAGCTACGTTGACTACCATTCCTATAGATGCACACATTGAAGGTGCAAGCCCCACTTAAAACGCTGTTTTCTGGAGTTGAAAGATATTCGAAATATAGCGGGCTTTCGATGCTTGTGGGAAGCGTATATCGTTTTAAACAAGAACAAAGACGCAGAGAGAGATATTGGAAATACAAGAAAAGAAGATACTGACAATTACTTTAGTCTCGAGACAGCAATGACTTTTGTTAAAGCTCTACTGGCCTTCCTCGATCAAAAGGGATTCAAATACAATGATAAAATAGCGCTTCGAAAAATTGAGAGCACACATTAAATCCAATTTAAAATTTATAAGCAAGATTAAACGAAGATTAAATAATAAATAATATTAAATAAAGAAATAATGGAATGTGGATCAACAAATTTATTGTTTTATTTTACAACATATCTCATACTTTGCGTAACAATGAACAGTTATATTAAGAATATAAATCAACTCGCGAAATTAATCAAAAACTTCACAATGCTTCAGACAAAACACAGTTAAGCGGTGTTAAACATTAATAATAATGCCTAAAAAATAATGACTTGCGCCAAATTTAATACTAAAAGAATTCAGATTTTACTGATTCGATATGCGCATGCAAATAGCGAAAATAATTGGTCGCAGCTTGTGAGAGGATAGGAAGAAGAGGATTTCCTGGCTTTGACCTTGTAGGATCAACTGAGTGTATCTACACCTCCCAGAACGCTTCGTCTTTTCTAATACAAGATGTTGCAACCATATGGAAGGATGCAATATACGAATTTTTTCCCCTTTTTATATTTTGTTTTTAATACTAAATTTATAATAATCAATCAGAGTAACACTAACTTCATTTTAATGAATCAGAATAATACTTAACTTCATTATAAAAAATCAGAATGTAGAAATCTCTGCAGACATGTAGAAACTTTTATTTAAAAGAGGTTATGGTGATCGAGCCGTTATGTCATATTTGTATATAACTTGAATCCCGGAATGAATAATGCATGTTAAGGTGATGATGATAATAATAATAATAGTAATGTTCAAAATATTATAACAAGTGAGTAACAGTAAGTGCTATAATAATCCACATATTGAAAAAAAAAAAAAAAAAAAAAAGTGTAACCCAAGAAACGTCGAGTTTTGATAAGCGTGTTTTTGAACAGAGACGGGTTATTAATTGCAATTAATTTTTACTTAATATGGGGGTGAATTTCATTTACCTCCTTATCTCGAATCAAGCAAAATTTTTTATAAATGTTACAGTTAGAATTGAATAGTATATGTTTTCTGATTAATATGCTCGATCTCACAAATTTGCCTTTGCCATAACGGCAAATGGCACAGGCATAGCCGCAAATTTGTGGAAAATAGCGGCAAAGGCATAGCCGCAAATTTGTGAAAAATAGCGGCAAAGGCATAGCCGCAAATCTGATTGATTATTATGAATTTGCGGCTATGCCTTTGCCAAGTCACGTAAAGATTAAAGAACGATTTAGAGAAGCGGCTGAATGTATCTTACTATAGTTAATTTACTGATGATGAAAGTCATTCTAGACGTGAAATGAACAAATGAACTTGGAATAATTAATGAAAATGTTTACACGACTGAAGCATGGTAAAACTAAATAATAGATACGATTTCTAAATCTGGAAATAGATACTGCACCTGATTCACAGTAGAACACAGTAGACAATAAAGCATGTTAGGATGATGATGATGATGTTCAAAATATCAGTGACTTGTAATAAAGTTATTAGTAAGTGCTATAATGGTCTACATGTTTTGAAAAAAAGAATACAATCGGTAGGAAAAATATATGAAGCAATAAGCAAAAAATATATAAATAGGCAAAGTAAGCAGAACATAAAGTAGGCAAAAACAGTAAGCAAAAATATACAATCGGTAAAAAAAATATGAAGAAAATATAACGAAAAAAATGTTCAAATTACTTTAGATATTTTTATATTTTTTCAAACAAACATGCATTACATTTTACTCACAACAATGAAAAATTTGCAATTTTTTCGATTTCAATTTACTTTATTTTAATACTAGGTAAGCAGGTAATAGGTAAAACTAAATAAACATACAATCCAAATAAATAAATAAATAAAACAAAAAATATGAAAGCTTTCTGATTTTATATTACGACCAAAGTGATATTTTTTCGTTCATTCATACACACATATTTCGAGAGCATTTAAGCCGACGCTCCTTTGGGCTAAAAATATTTAAAAACAGCCTACCTTCAGAATTTTCGATTGATAGCCTCACGCTTTATTTCGTATAGTATTGTCACTGGTTCCTTTGATTTCGTTGAGTTTTTAATTAAAATTTTAGAACATATGAAATAGTTAACAAAACAAATTCAAAATTCGGGCTTCCAGGTGGCCGTATTCGATTGAATACTACGTTCTAGACGCCGTTGTTCTTTCCCAATGCGAAAAACATACGTACATTCATGCAGATTCAGGGCGGTAATATTTGGGGGCAATAATTTGAAAAGTGATTCACCGCTTTTAGTGATTCGAGACACAATGCCGTTTCGAGACTAATAGCCCTCCTGGCAAATGACCATTTGAGGTAACCGTGGTGAGAAAACGTTGGATGAATTATAGTAATTTTACGCATATTTTTAAATTTGATTAACTTTATTTCATTTGATACAACATTTCACAGGCTTAAATTAACTCTATGAACCAAGTTATGAAGATATTTCTCGATTATTTTTAAGCACATTAATTTCTCTGAAATATGCAATTAGTTAAGCACTAAACTTGCACAGTAATAATATCAATAAAACCCCTCTTTTACTGTTTTTGATAAATGATAAAAACACTATTCTCTTTCTTTTAACCAAATAGACCACAGAAATATTCTTCCTTTAAAAGTGTGGGTAAAATCATTATTTTATTCACCATATAGGGTGTCTTCGAAATTATAAAGCAGCCTAACCTTAATTTAAAATTGATAATACTGATTGTGGTAGGAGAGAGTAAGGATTTGGTTCGATCGCTACAGGAAACACTTTTTTGATCTCTTACAAATAATTCCGTATTGGTTTCTAATGTTCGTCACGAGAAGTAATCTGCTTTCTAATATATGTATTTAATTATTTGAAATATTAAACTTCTGGTGAAACTCAGAAGCTCTTTTGTAAGTTTGGTACCAGCTGTAAAGTCTTGGCTTCTGAACAGAGCACAAACAATATTCGGAAAAGCTTGTAATAAATTTAAAGGTTCCAGTTTTCATTTAAAAATGCGTATACGATACATTATCAGACCATTCCAAAATTTCGATGATAAATCAGTCGTATATGCAAAACCCTAAACATTTATTTTCAAGCACTAAACATACATTTTCGTAAGCATCTAATTACTTGAATGTTTCATCAGGTTAAATTATGCGTAAAAATAGTCTCTAGCTGAAAAGCATAAAAAACTTTCCAGATGTTTTAAAGTATTTACAGCCCATTATTTTAAACGGTTGCATGTGTAATATATATTTAAGTAATAGTCTCGCAAGTTACGAAGATAATTCTCGATTGTTTTTCAGCACATTAATTTCTCTGAAACATGTAGTTAGTTAAGCAGCTTTTTGAAAAAAAGGGCATTCCAAAGATCTTAATTATATTTAAGATTAACTTCTGGAATATTCAGTAGGTTTAATTCATGTGTAAACGTAATCTAGGAAATGAAAGTCTTTATTGCGTATCTTTTTAAAAACGTGCCTTAAAAATAAATGTTTTGCTTGTGATATTTTAAAATGTTACGCTGAGAAAAATAAACCCTTTGTTGAATATAATTATGTTAAGAAATGGAAAAAACATTGAATAGAATTAAGATATAAAGAGAGTATGTAAAGAGGTATGTTCAAATAATATTACTTTTTAAAAAAATAAATCTTTAACAACTTCAACAATTAAAAAAGGTAAGAAATTTAATGTTAATTATTAGTTATTGATGAAGTTCATTTTATTTCAACTTTAAAAATTGCGCTTTCAAAGCAACCTAAAGTGATTCTGTTCACTTTTGTTATGAATTAACCACATTAAGCAATTCTATTTTCAGATTTTTAATAATTCAGAGAATTCATAAAATATCGAATACATTATTGTTTATCTTGAACACATAAGCGCTCGTCAGAACAAATTACACTAAAATATCATTACCTAAGAACCTAAGATATACTATATAAGTTAACTAATTAAAAAATGAATTCGAAACATAGGTGAAGTCCAAAAGTGAGATAATATTCTCTGTTACTCCAAAGCTTCTTTAACAAGTAGAAAAAGACATTGAAGTAAATTAAAAAAAAAATATCGCTCTTTTACCTTCTGATTAAGCTTAGTCTGGAGATGACTGACAGACCCATTCATCATTTAGTCTTTCTTCCACCAATAATGTGTGCCATAGGATGTACATTAAACATTCTTCAATTGCTAAAAGTAATATTTCGTAAACATGCTACAATGATATAGTTTAAAGTGTGCTTATAAGGCGTATAAGGTGGTAGTAAAGTTATTTTTCATGGTCATGATGGTCATGATGTTGAAATTTGTAAGCGTAAGACTAAAAATAGCATCTGATTTGCTTATTAAAGATAATTATTAAACATTCATAGTATAATTTTTTATATAGTTCATGTAATTATTGAAAATTTGTCAAAGCACATCTTACTTAGTTTACTATATTCGAAATTTTATAACTGTGATACAGCTCTGTTATGGATTCTAAAGTTATACAACGTGATTATGTTATAGGCTATGTCTTATAATTAATTATATATGTTACAGTATTTATTAATAAATATGATTCTGCAGCGCTAAATATGTGGTTTTTATCGTAGATGGAGTCCATTGTAGAGAAGATGCAAGATGAAAATCATGGAGTTCCAGTACGAACTGTCAAGAGTTTTATGTCCAAAATACCCAGTGTATTTACAGGTAACTGCTAATCATATTGATTGCTTAATAAGACAGAAATTTGCAACTATGGTTGTTGTTACTATGTAAAATGTTTGTTTAAAAATATCGGATTTTAAACTTCATGCACCACTCAATAGCAAAACCTGTACTTAGTCTCCATCAAAATCTCGTATGTGACAAAAAATAAAAAGCAAATACGAAAATACATAAGTACCTTTCTTCTTTCTAAAACTTTTACAAATCCATTCTGTTTCCTGCTTCTTCTAAAAAGTTGTTTTCTTAATATAAGAATCCCAACAACAATGTCATGTTTATTGCGGTACTTGATGATATTTAATTCCCTTTTTATAACAGTCTGAATGTTTTCGAAATCTGGTTAAACTAATCGCTGTCTAATTTCAACTAAATTAGCTCAAGTTGCGAAATTAGTCGTTCAAACCTTCCACGGAATAATATTCTACGAACTTGGCTATGTGTGTTCTTTTTCAATTTCTTCTTCTCCCTAGCTCCTCGGCTGTTATTTGCTCTCCTTTAAAATTTGATATTGAATATGTTCGAACAACGCATAATTGATAAAACATGTTTCCGAATTCTAATAATTCCCTTTGTTGAGCGGCTGTTTGAAATCATTTTTTTAGAGCGAGAGAAAATTCATTTTTCCATTAGACTGCTCTTTGCATTTCGACATCGGCTTCATATAGTCTTCTTAATTTAAATCATTTACATGTGGAAAGTCTCCTTCCCAAGTCTCAACTACTCCTTTCCTTATTTATTTTGACACATTTCAACATTTTATTTCTTGTTACGTTACATTTATTCGTTACGAACGTCATTTATTTCTTATTAGACTTTTTAAAGCTATTTCTTCAGTTTTCAACATAATTTGTAATCGTTTCCACTTCAGATGAAATTCCTCTTTAGGTTATTATAAGTTTTTGCTATTATATGCTATACAAATTTATATTAATCTGTTACATATCTAGATCATTTTCTACCTTTTAATTGCTTAAATAGAGAGAATGCATAATATGAGTGTTTCATCGGCACAGAATATTCAGTGCCGGTGAAATAGTCAAATAGAAGCTCATTTTGCAATTTTATGCGATTACTTCCCATTGGTTTTATCTTTTGCGTTTAAGGATACTTAGATGCTTTGATTCAACTACTGACTTGCTAGGTCTAATTTAATTTGCATAAAAGTTTAGAGATCTAGACTTAATTTGGTATACAGGCGCAGCTACATTAGATGGTATGGAGGTTAATGCAAGTTCCATATGAGGCCATTGGTTTTGGGATTGAATACTTGACAAGAAATGATCATTTGAGAATTCAGTACCTTTGGAATGAACGAAATGCATAATGAACGAAAAGCAAACATCTTTCCATACGTCCTGAAAACAGTAGTACTAGAAGTGATCGCTACAAAATGTACTGGACCCGAATAGATTCATATGTACACAGATGAGTCATCTATCGGCTAAAACAGTGGAGCCGGCTTTTAGTCCCACCTCGCCAAAGAAGCTTTCCTTGTTGGCAGATCAATGGAAAACTTCGACGAGGAGGAAATGGGCATAAATGAGGCAGAATATGCCCTTTACCACCCAGGCATCAAACAAAAAATAATCTTCCTCTGGAACTCAACGGCTGCAATACGATCAATCGTCAGGGCAGAGCCCCATAAAGAATAATTTGTAGCCCAGCGCTAGGAAAGACTTCTCAAACTACAGGAGACAACAGGTATTCAAATGCAATGGGTCTCGAGGCACTGCGACATTAAAGGAAATGAATAGACAGACAGTCTAATAAAGGAAGGATGCCCTATGCCTTAACACGCCCCTAACATACAGAACCATATGTAGCATAAACGGATGAGCAGCTATACTGGATGGAGCGGCATCAACTAGTTGACCTACCAAAGACTGAAGAAGAAGACTTTAAGACTCCTGTCTGTATTTTGGACACCAATTGTTTCTCAACTTTTAGGAACCAAAAGATTTTATAAAAAGAAGAATTTTGTTCTTCTTTTCCTCTTTGCGGTGCTATTGCACTTTTGTTTATTTATTTTATTAATGTTATAACTTACTTGTGTAAGCTTATTAGAATACTTTGTGGAACACGAGTAGATGAAATAAGAATTAGAAAAGATAAAAGGTTTATATAGAGATAGTAGGCTTTCTTTATCAACAAGAACAATAAAAAGAAATATAGATAGTTATTTACTTGCATTTCAGTGTGAGAACTTGAGAGTACATTACAAAGGCCCTTTATTTTATTTTTCGTGCATTATTTTCTTAAATTTTTCGAGGTTAAATTATCAATAAATCATGGTTCATACGAAGAAGTCACGTATTTCTTGAATCAATATTAACGTTCCTTACAATTATCAAAATATTGAGAAACTAATATACTATTGGCAGGTCACAGGTCACAGGTGACGGAGGACGGGGACGCCTGGTGTTTAACAGAGGTAAACAGGCATATGTCCCGCGCTGTCCCCTATCTACCGGGAGTTTATTGAGATCTTAAAAGAATTATTACATTGCCATACAGGGGCAGATGAGAGATACATTGGCTATTTATGTTGTATTACAGATTTTAGGTTTGCAAGGTATACATTACAGAACATACTGGTTACATACACACACACAAAAAAAGAAAAAAAAAACATTAACATAACACATAGATGACACATAAACACTATTAATAAAGGAGGTACATGCGCTTAGCAGAAGGAAGATACACATAACTAGCACATTAAGCACACATTTGGGTATAGTTTAGTAGTTATGCTGAGGACCAATTTTGAATATGCATTGGATGTACAGAATACATAATGCCAAATACACTTAATGTAGATATATTGCTCATAATACTGAATATACTGATAATACTGCTTACGACTACTATATACAGAATAAACTATTGGCAACAGAAACAGTTTGTAGCTGGTTTCTTTCATTGTCTTTTTCCGGCTCATTTCCTATTCTTTCCAGCTTTTACAAAAAAAAAAAAAAAAAAAAAAAAAAAAAAAAAATGGGAGCGGTAGAAAAGAAGCCAGACTTCTTACTTTTCTTTTCATTTTCTTGCTTTATCGCATTTAATAAAAGAAAAGAAATTGAACTACAGGGGGGGGGGAAATGCCTGAAACTCGCTTTGCTTGAAGGGTTTCATTTATTTAAAACTGCTTTCTTATTTCGATTTTAACGTAAAACAGAAGAAAGTAAATTAGTCGTCTGTTACTAGTTTCCCCTAAGGCAGATAAATTGAAATGCTGAAATAAAAATATGAAGAATCCTTTAGTTATTTCATTTGTACCAAACACTAAGCATTTCTGCAAATTCTAGCAATTCTTATCTCTAAGTTATTGCGGTGTTATGAGTTATTAAATTACCCTGATTCATTCTTTTAATTTGTTTCTCATTATATTTACATAAACAGAGCCCTTTACATCTTTGATTTATGATTATTGATTTACTGGGATTTAAACAGATTTACATGCACGAGGCACTGGCACCGATAATTTTACCGCAGACTTTCTGCGTAAATTCGCTTCTGTTTTTTTACCTCATTAATGAACTAGAAATTTGATTCCCGTCGCTTTGGAGTCATTATTGCTCGTTACGTTGATGAATATTTTGGTTCCAGTTCTTCTCTTTTGTCTCAGAGGATTTCAAATCTTAAGCGATGTAGTTACGCTAGTTTATTTTAATATGGCAAAGTGGATAAAGGCTATTTGCCTAAATATAAACTTTCAAAAAAGACTCTAAAACAAATTGGCTCATATGCACATTACACCAGGGGAAAGCCAAGAAAACAAACCATGGTGCTATCCTGTCCGGCCAGAAATGGAATCAGGGTCAAACACTCAGTATTCAGTGATTTTAAATACACAGTCACTGGTGAAGCAAATCTGCAAAGATATTTAATAATTCAAAAAGGCGTAACTTTAAGCAGTTATCTAATGGTCCTACAATACTAAGATTATCATTTTCTCATTCGTTTTGTGTGGTTTTATGCTTATTAAAAACACATTTTTATTTGCTTAATTTTTGTTCCTTTTCGATTCATTTATTTTTAATTTTTGTCACCAGAGAGTCTTCAGAGATATTAAATTGCTATTATGTTTGATAGTATTAATAATAAAATGCAGATTGTGTACTTTAACAATTACATACATAGGAAATATACCTTCCACCCGCCAAGAATATCACCACTTTATCAAGAAAAATCATTCTAAGCGAATTTATGATGATTTCTCACTTGGGCCAGTTTCTTTAGGCTAAATTTAGAACTGACCGTAAGGAATTCGAAGTAATGGTAAATTGCTTCAAACTTCGAACTTCCACCACATTAGGTAGAAATAGGCGTAATACTGGGTTTGTTCGTAACATAGATACACGAGTGATGTTTTCGGTTAACACCTAATTCAGTTTTCACACAATTGATACGTTAAATGTTATATACATTAAAACATGTAAAAACAATTCGTGTAAATAATAATACCTGTAAGAAAATTCGTAGGTACAGGAAAAACAAAATTAGTTCCGGGTCTAAAAATTCAAGCAAACATCATTTTAAAAATATATGACGTGGCTAGCTCATGACCTCCCGCTAATTGCATGCTTTAAATAACAACATTCTTTAAGTATCAAAAGATGTTTTACTTAAAGCTCATTCGTATTTAAAACATTGAATTGGTTGATCGTTTATACATAAAACCTAATTTTCTAATAAACGTTTTGGATCAGTGTTAATTAAAAACAGCAAGCATTTTTGTTATTTTCTTCTCCAATACAATGGAAAATGATAACTATACGTTCTCATGGACATATCCATTCTTATGCTTCGATTTGAAAATATTGCATCGATCGTATATCCTCTGGTCATGTACTGTTTCAGATTCCCAAATTAATAACCTACAAATTACAAAATTTTTAACTTTTTTAATAAGATGACAACTTTTTAATCTATCCTTTTACCTTTATTTATTAAACATCACTTACGTCACATACAAATTA